TTGAAATCCCAGGAACGTCTGTAGTGATCAAGAAGGGAGTAGATGTGATAATTCCCATTTACGCAATCCATCGTGACCGAATGCACTGGCCAGATCCCGATCTTTTCAGGCCAGAACGTTTTTTGAAGGGACAGCCAAAGCCTGGAACATATCTACCCTTTGGAGATGGATCGAGAATGTGCCCTGGTAAATAATGGCTCAAAGTATGTCAAGATATAAGCAAACTGAAGCATCACATCTTAAACACATTGTTTCGTTTGAAGTACATATATTCCACATCGAACAAAGTTACTATTGATACCAAAATTAGAATAGGCTAAACGTAGTTTAAAAGTTTGCAAATTCAAATTGATTAAGTGCACGCGGATCTTATGGTGGTTTTTCACCCCCTCAAGGAGTAACTTTGAGGGGGGTGGGGATTCAGGCGCGAAATTTTGAGGGTACGCCCACTTACCCGTGATATATTCATAAAAAATCTGAAATCAAAAAAAGTGGACATGTGTGGTTTTTTTTTAATTTGTCCGTTCATTCACTTTAAAAAATGATTTATTTTTTTTTCTCTCTCATCAATACTTCAAGTTTGATTCCTCATTTTGATTTAAAATCAATTTTTCCGTTCCTCTTTGTGTAGTGTTGTCTCTCTTTCTGAACATTGTGTGCCCCCAGATACTGTCAATTACGTGCATTCTTTTGAAATAAGTCAAGAGGACAGCGACAACTTGAAACACAAATTTCGTGAGATTGCATACTAACTATTTTAAAGACAATTTTGAACCTATTTTAACCGATCTCTCATCTAACTTACTTTCCAACTTGTATACATGAACCTAACAATGGCATGCATGCAGATATTATTTGAGGGCATGTCAGGAATGGAAGTAGTTGAGAATAGCACAGGAACTTATTTGTTATATACCTAATAACAGGGGTAATTGAATTCCAGGCCTGTTTCATCTCAAGTGATGAATAGGAATATTCTCCTCTTTTACTCCCGTTGATTGCTTTGCTAGTAGTATAAACAATTTTTGTACCACACGCAATTTCCTCACGATTTTTCCCCGTTTTAATTTCAGGGTACAAATATGCCTTCTTAGAGCTGCAAATGATTATGACATTCCTCATCAAGAATTACGATATTGTTCCTTGCGAAACAACACCACCACCTAGGGAACTTCGGTTCCTGGCGAGAGGGGTTTTGCTCCACCCGGAAAATGGAATTTTCATGCGGATTAAAAGAAGACGTAAAATTTAAACGAAGTTCTCACGGATTGTATATTAAGTGAGTACCTCGTAAGTTAGAAGTTTTCAGTTTCATTGATGAATTTCACTAATTCGTGTTTTCCCCAAAACTCACTTCCTGCAGGATCCATTTATATGGCATTTTGGATGTTGGTGCCAAAAAATTGATGATATATATAGAATAAAGGAAAAAATCAGGTGGTAGGAGTAAGAAAAGTATATATATGGCAAAAAGTCAATTGGATTACATTTTTCAATAAGGAACCACTATCTCTGGCTCTCCCATAAAAACACTTATCTGGATAGGGAAACCAATGGCGTGTATGTTGTTTCTATAATGGGCCCGAAATAGTGGTTCCTTATTGCAAAATGTAATCCAATTGGTCTGTTGCGCGCAGGAGATACATTAAAAAAATATGCTCTTAACAAGTAAAATCCCAAATTATCACGTTTAGCACGTCAAAACAGTCTGAAATCCATTCCATAGTGCGCATCTGCATAGTTTGTAACGTGCTTTTCCAGGTTTTCCGCGTCTGCGCGCAGTTTTTCTCAGTCACAGCCGACCACGTTTGTACAGGAAAAGGAGTTAAAAAAAACTAACTTAAGCAAACAAACAATTTCACTAACTTTTTCTATTGTGTAATTTTAATCGTTTTCAAGCGTTTGTTTCCTTTTTTTTTTCTTTTCTCTACAAAAACAAAAGCTTTGAATCGATTGAATCTTTACGCAAGGTGATGAGTTTTTAAAAGTTTGAGAAATCGTTAGTTTATGAAGGTTGATCTCTCTTCGGGCAAACCTAACTACCGGCCACCAAGAAAAACTGCCTGTATACGCGGTAAATTTGAAAAATCGTGTCAAAAACAGCGTAGATTGCGTGCTAAGGAGTGGATTCACTGAAAAAAATGAGTTAGCGTCAGATGACTAAAAATGGTTTCTATACACTAACT